AGGAGAAGTCCCTGCCCTCTTACTTTAAAACCTGGTAGAGACTCCTGAGGGCTTAAGTCTGTGATAGCGGGGTCAGGTCTGACTCACTGCTCTGGACAGGAGAGAGCAGGGTGGGAGACTGTTTACTTGAGAAGGGTCCGATTCTGCAGGGAAGGGCGAGGCGGAGAGCCCCCCAGCTTCTGGGCATGGTTAGGGGGAGGACCCACAGCAACATCTCAGCGTAAGGCTCAGCTGGCGAGCACGTGGGCACTCGTGGCCCCAGCCCCTCGCCGACTCTGCAGACCTTTCCCCCGGCTTCAGCGTCCCCGCTGGCAAACCCTGCGAGGCCCCCATGACCTTCGCCCTGGGCTTCTAGCAGTGGGCAGGCCAGCTGGGCACTCTGCCTCCAGCCTCCTTTCCACGTGTGCAGCCGCCGCCAGGCCACTCGCTTTCCTGCTTGCGCCTCGACTCCCCGTTCGGAAAACGGCCCTAAAAATTCCTGCTGCTGCGCTGAGGGTGTTTGAGGAACAACTAGGAAACTGTTTATGGGCAGCTCAGCCCAGACTTAAAGGACTCCAAAATCTGGTAGCTTGAAATCAGGAGGAAGCCAAGGAGCATCCTGGAACCCCGTGGCATTGCTGGCTCACGGTGGGATCTGAGTGCGGGCCACAGCGGACGCGGTGATGTGTGAGTCCATCTGCAGGTGCGGCTGGTTCTGGCCTCCACCCTGGGAACGGGAGCCTAGGAGCCTTGTGTGGGAGTCTGGTCCCGAAGCCTCTGTGTTCGAGCGGACTCTCTGATCACTTGTAGCTGTAATCAGCAAAGAGGAAGCTCTTAAAATGGGGACTCATATGTCACGGTCGCTGCAGAGTAGCCCTGGGCCTGGCGCCAAGGGAAACAGCACTTGGCCGGCAAGGCGGCGGGCCGCTGGGCCGCCCGCGGAGCGGGCTCGCCCCCAAGTGCTTCCTGCAGCAGGGGGCGCGCTCTTGGCGGGCGACAGGCAGCGGTGAACCAGCCACACGGCGAGTCTGCGGAGACGGACGGGCCGGCCTGGCCGAGGGATGCTGAGGGCAGAGCTGCGGGCTCTGGAACGTCGCGATCGCCATGGCGCCCGGCTTCGCAACCTCAGGAGTGTCCCTTGGCCTCTCTGGGCCCTGCTGATCTCACCCCGTGTAGGACCAAAGCCTTCCATACCCCAGGGGCAGAGTGGAGCCCGTGATAGTTATACTGGCAACGATGGCAGTCATACCGGCGTGAGTGCTTATGCTCACTCAGTGGTGTCTGCCTCTTTGCGATCCCATGGACTATATCCTGCCCGGCTCCTCTGTCCGTGGGGAGTGTCCAGGTGAGAATACTGGAGTGGGTTGCCATGTTCTCCTCCAGGGGCTCTTCCTGACCCGGGGATCGAACCTGCGTGTCTGATGTCTCCTGCGTTGGCAGGCAAATTCTTCACCACTGAGCCGCCTGGGAGGCCCAGGAATACTGGCAGATGACGAGTTAAGATGTACCTGCCGCGGGCAGCCCCTTGTTCAGTCCTCACAGCATCCCTGTGCGATGGTCACGGGTACCCGTCTTCACACTTGAATACAGTGAGGACCCAGAGAGGTCGAGCAACTTGCCTGAGGTCGCTCGGCCGGGAAATAGCCCTCAGCTTCTAGGCCGGGGCCCACACTTTGCTTCCTGCAGGGGCCAGGCTGCCCCAGAGGGCCTGGGGCCTCCGTGCAGGGAGCCTGAGGCTGAGGAGTGGGCTGAAACAAAGGGGTTCCATGGGGCCAGTGTCTCAAAGAAAGGGCCTGTGCTGGGACCCAGTAGGCTGTGGCGGGGAGCGTGCTAGGAGTGACGGAGCATTGGATAGGAGGGCATTGGGATCTGAAAGTGCTTTGCGAGTTGCTCCCAGCTGCGGTTTTGAGAACAGAGTGTCGGGGTGGGGTGGTCAGAGTAGCAGCGGGGGCACCCGGGCGGAGGCTGCAGGGGATGCCCGTGGAGGGCTGTCGGGCCTGCGCCAGCTGGTTGCCATGGTGATGAAAGCACGTAGGTGGATGTCAGGAACGTAAAGGAGGCCACATCTGCGGGTCATGCTGCTGTGGGCTCCCACAGGCACGAGGCTGGTCGGATGCTCCAGAGGGGCTCAGAAAGAGCCTCCCCCCACGGGGGGCAGTCGGGGTTGCCTGCCCTCGGGTCTGACCTCGTCCAGGCTTGCCTGTGTCTCTAGTAAAGTGTGGGCAGGGCTGGGCTGTGTGTTCCCGAAGGCCTGTGAGCCTGTGATGGGGGCGGCCACACGTAGGGCGCGTGTCACTGGTGGATATCTCTGTGGACACCTTGGAAATGAGGAGTAGGGGGGCCCTACAACACCAGGACATGCTGCCTCACCCCCCCCCATCCTGGTTCAGCTACAGGCATCAGTAAGATGGGGTCCTGAGTGTGGAAGAGAGAGGTTGGAAGTCTTATCTTACGTGGAGCCGAGTGCCTCAGGAAACTTGTTTCTGCCCCCTGCCTCACATCTCAGGGCTTCCCAGGTGGCGCTAGTGGTAAAGAACCCGCCTGCCAATGCAGGAGACATAAGAGATGCCAGTTCGATCTCTGGGTCGGGAAGATCCCCTGGAGGAGGGCATGGCAACCCACTCCAGTAGTCTTGCCTGGGAAATCCCATGGACAGAGGAGCCTGGTGGGCTCCGGTCCAGAGGGTTGCAAAGAGTCGGACATGACTGAAGCGCCTTCGCACGCACGCATGTTTCCTGAGGGTTCTCTAGGGCCAGAGGGGCCCATGGGCCTGGGCCCAGAGCGAAGAACCAGGACGCAGGGTGGCTTTCGCAAGCGCCCGCAGGCTGTATGAGCAGACGCCGATCACCACCTCCCCCCCAACTCGCCTGGCTGACCTGGTGAAGCGCCTTCCAGCCCCAAGATCCAAGGAGAGCCCGAAAGGGCGGCACCGGCCCCCGTCTTGATGAGGAGACCCCGGGGTCATTCCTTGGAAAACATCTCTACCAGGAGGGAGTGGAGTCCCACATCCTCCAATTATGCTGCCGTCCAGCCGGCCCACAATGGGTCCGCAGATAACCATCGGGGGCCGCCGAGCTCCGTGCTGGAACAATGCTGGCCGCTCGGGCTATTTTTACAGTAGCCGTGCGCTCGGCAGAACCCCGCGTCGCCCCAGGGGAGCAGGCGAAGAAAGGGCTGCGGATGCCCCGCCGTCTGCGCTCCGGGAGACAGAGGAAGGCCCGGTGAGCCGCCCGGCGGCTCCAGGAAGCCTTTTCTCGATCTGCTCACTGCCAGATAGCGAAACAATCGGGGTCCCCCACCCCGAGCCAGGGAGAGGAAGGAGGCGTGGGGGAAGCGGGGATTCTGTTATGCTTGCGTGCCTCTCCTCCTCCGAGCACGGCCCCGGAGGGCATGACTGCGGGCCAGGCCAGCGTGCCCCCCTCGCCTCCCCTAGTCCTTGGCAGTGGTCCCCTCCCCCGGCCGGACCTCCCCCAGGCCCCACAGTGTCACGGGGCTGGGAAGTGGCAGAGTTGAGGGGTGCCACTGGGTCCCAGCTCCCTGCGTACCTACTCTGGGAGCCATCAGCCCAGCAGTCCTTCGCTGACTACCTCCCGTGCACCAGCTCAGGACACCCCACCGCAGGCAAGGGGGGTCCCGCTGCCCCGCGGCCTCCGTTCTAGATGAGGAGGAGACTGTTAACAAGAAGGCAAACAAGGCATTTTCAGCTAGCGCCGCGGTGACTCCATGCAGACTCAGATGTCCCTGGACAGGTCCAGATGGCGAGCTGGCCCCGTGCACCGGGGCGATGGCCCCCTCTGGTCCAGCGGATGGCCGCTGTAGGAGCGTGAGTCCAGCGTGTGGCCCACCTTCCAGTTTTTCAAGGAAACCTAGAAATCTCAACTTTACCCTGGAATCTGAGAGTTCAGCGCTGGCCACCCATTTGGATCGTGAAGACAAGCAGCTGGCTCTGCGTCGGCACTCTCTGCCTTTCCTCCTTTTTATTCTGAAGTCGGGGAGACAGGCTCCCCAGTCTTTGTGGTCCTGTGGCACATGGGGGTAGAAGGCACCTTCTCCTGCTGGGTGGGACTCGGATGCTCTTGCCCTCAAGGTCCAGCTGCCAGGAGCACTGGGCACTCAGGGACCAGACGCAGGACAGAGAGGGGTTGCCGCTCTGGCCGGTGGCAGAGCTGCTCTGGGATGGGGTCTGAGCAGGGGGCTGCTGAGGGTGAGCGTGAGCAGCTTAGAGGCCTGATAATCCTGGGGCCTCCGCTTGCTGAACCCACAGGGCAGCCAGAGGGTCGGGGCCCGGATGAACCAGGGGTCAGGGTGGACCCGAGCACAGATAAAGGGGGCTGGACCCGTGGGGACTAGCAGGCGTCGCTCCGGAGTCCTGTCCCGGCGCAGACCCCTGCCCTGATACTGCAGACATGGCCTGGCTAAGAAGCTGCCAGAGTATTTTATAAGCACCCGTGTTCTGTATTTGACGGAAACCCTGTTTCCAAGTCCTAGAAGACATACTCGGAAACACTGAAGCGTGAAAACTCGCCAGCCTGAAGCTCCGTTCTTTAAAACCGTGAGGGGTGAGCACCTCCGCTGGGCCAGGGCCTGCCCCGCGGCACCAGTTTCTCCGCCAACCTGAGATTCAGAGACGATTTCTAGAGGATGCAGGCAGGCTGTGGTTTGGAAGCGGCACTAGACCTGTGTGGAAGGTGTTGGGTTCTGCAGAGATGCTGCCAGGGCTGGGTGGCTTCGTGCTCATCTCCCTGCGGGTGCAGAATGGTGGGAGGGGGGTGGCATTCGGGGCTGGTGGAGACGGGCCCCGGTGCTTCTGTTGGACGGGTGCCTAGGGGATGGCAGCTGTCGGTCCCCGGGTCCTCAGGCCCCCAGTCACCTGGGGTGGGGGGTCCGAGGAGTGGACGGACGAGGTGGGGGCAGGCCATCTACCTCAAGCCCGGCAGGTCAGAGGCGGCCCGCGGGGTCGAGCCAGGACACACAGGCTGCCCCTCACTGATGCATGTCGGGGTCTGCTCTGTCCACCATAGAAAGCGAGGAGGGCATGGCCACCAAGGAGAAGTTGCAATGTCTGAAAGACTTCCACAAGGACATCCTGAAGCCGTCCCCTGGGAAGAGCCCAGGCACCCGGCCGGAGGACGAGGCCGAGGGGAAGCCCCCGCAGCGGGAGAAGTGGGCCAGCAGGATCGACTTCGTGCTCTCCGTGGCTGGCGGCTTCGTCGGCTTGGGCAACGTCTGGCGTTTTCCCTACCTCTGCTACAAAAACGGCGGAGGTGAGCCTGGGCTGGGCAGAGGGCGGGCCGGAGGGGTCGCTGGGACACAGCGAGGGGGTCTCCCCGCGCCCAGCGTTCCAGGCCCCCGCCTCAACCTCCTCGCTGTCAGCCAGCCTCCGCTCCCACCACAGTCCTCAGAGGCGGGGGACCAGCATGACCGGGAACCAGCTGGTGTTCTATCAGGGCCTCCCTCGAGCAGATTCTTTACCGTCTCTGCTCCTCCAGTTTACCATCTCTGAAGGCCGCCACAAGGCCAGGCCCGAGCCTCCGAAGCCTCGTAGCTCTGCGCCTACCCACAGAAGCGCAGAACCTTTTTAACCTGTCTTTAGAACTTTTTCACCCTTTTTTGCTTTTCTAACTTAAACCAGTTGTAGTTCAAAAGCAAGTTTCGTGTTTCCCACCCTAAATAGAAAACCAGTGTCTTTTGCTGTGATGGATAGGTATCCAGGACAAAAGAAGAAAAAGTACAATGAAGATGTTTTTAATTTTTTCAGTTTTATTGAGATAAGAATCAACATATAGCATTGTTTTAGTTTAAGGCATACAAGATGATTGATGTCTCTACTGTGAAATGATCACGGTAAGTCTATTTACCATCCATCAGCTCACACAGTTAAATGTGTTTTTTCTTCTTGTAATCAGAACTGTTAAAGTTTTATGCTGTTAGCAACTTCTTTTTTTTTTTTTCCCGCATGTGGGATCTTAGTTCCCCAACCAGGCCTCAAACCTATGCCCCTTGCATTGTGAGTACAGAGCCTTTGCCATGGGACTGCCAGGGAAGTTCGTTAGCAACTTCCAAACACACCATCCGGTGCTTCGTGACTGGTGGACAACCTTGATGTACACGACACGCCCGGTCGGAATTTATCTCCTAGCTGGAAGTTTGTGCCTTTTCGACCCTTTCACTTAGCCATGGTATTTTCTAAATGTGAGTTCTCTGTTTGGTCAGCTGGATAGTTGGTTGGCCTGTTCTTTCGGTTTTCGAATGGTTGGTTGTTTTTAACTTGCCGAAGGCCCTGAGTTAGCATGCTCTGACGTCACAGGAGTTCAGGCTCGGCAGCACGTCCCAGAGACCTGCTGGTCAGCAGGACCTCAGCAGTCAGAACTCCCTCCCTGCTCCTCGTGGCGGCCCGTGACCCGGCTGGCACCCAGCAGAGCTGGGCACGCGCGTGCCGCCCGCCCACCTGCCCGCGTCAGGAGAACCACCTTGCAGGAGGTCCTGCCCTCCAGCCTGGTTTCTTAGACTTTTGGAGGTCTCAGGTGCCTCTGGGACCCCGATGAGTGCCCTGGACGCTCCCCAGAACAAAGCCCATGCCCATAGACCCAAGTTGCCCACACTTTCAGAGGGTGTACGGACCCGCTGAAGCCAGCATTGGGCACCAGGTAGGAGCCCTCGCCCGGCTCTTCACCCTCCCCTCCTCCCCTGGCTCCCATCCCCGGCCGGAGAGAACCATCTCTTGCTTCCCAACACCCTTCCCAGCTGGTTCTCAGCTTCCTGCCCTGGCCGGGCCATGGAAGGCCAGCTGAAGGCTTCAGCCAGGAGACCCGTCTGAGCCGGGCGTGAAGGGCTGGGCAGTCCTTCTTCAGAGGGACGGACCTGGGGAAGACAGGCAGGCACAGAGCTTCAGCAGACACTCGGAGGCTTCAAGCCACCGGGTAGATTGGAAGAAGGCAAGAGGGCACCCTGGAAGGATGGTGCTGGCTGGACGAGAATTTTCAGCCAGGTCCAGCCGTCTGCCCTTCACCCTCACGTCCCTGGGTCGGGAGGATTCCCCTGGAGAAGGAGATGGCAACCCACTCCAGTACTCTTGCCTGGAGAATCCCATGGACAGAGGAGCCCGGCAGGCTGGCCGGGAGGGGTTGGGACGGAGAACATGCAGGCCTCAGCCAACCTGAGCCTTACCGCACTCTCCTCTCTCTGCAGGCGCATTTCTCATACCATACTTCATCTTCCTGTTTGGGGGCGGCCTGCCTGTGTTTTTCCTGGAGGTAATCATAGGCCAGTACACCTCTGAAGGGGGCATCACCTGCTGGGAAAAGATCTGCCCCTTGTTTGCCGGTGAGTACGGGACAAAGGTCACCGGGGGCCTGGTGTTCCTCGGCTCAGCAAATGTTTATTGTCCACCTACTACTTGCCAGGTACACTGGAGCCTCACGCAGCCCAGCTTGGCTCGTGGCGGCGCTGCTGCTCGTGGCTCTCTGGGTTGTCAAAGGATGGGAGACGCAGTAGCAGCGGAGCAGTAGGGTGTAGAAAGGAAGCCTTGCAGCCAGCCTGTCTGTCTGGCTTCAAGCCCCGCTTCCCAGTTTTGCTACGTCTCGTGACTTTGGGGAAAGTCACTTCACCTCTTTGTGCCTCAATTTCCCTATCCATAAAATGGAAATAATACGCATACTTCTAGGGTTGGCGTGAAGACAAAATAGCACAGCCACATAAAAGTCTTTGTACACAGAGGAAGCCCAAAGCGGCGGTCGTAGCTTTGTTATTGCTGGGCTTCCCTGGTGGCTCAGGTCGTAGAGAATCTGCCTACGATGCGGCAGACCCAGGTTCGATCCCTGGGTCAGGAAGATCCCCTGGAAAAGGGAATGACAGCCCACTCCAGTATTCTTGCCTGGAGAATTCCAGGGACTCAGACACGACTGAGCGACTAACACTTGTTATTATTGTAGCATTTAGTCCTGTGTCTACTTCCTAGTATGTCCTCATAAGATAATGCTGTCATGATTATAACTGGCAGGGGTGGGAGACTGTGTGAGTCTGTTCACTCAGTCATCCATGTAAATCTACCCATCTGTCTATCCATTAAACCTTTCTTTTATTAAACTAGTCAATAGTTACACAATGCATATACCCATTCAACCATGCTCCAGCTACTTATCCATCCATCCATCCATCTACCTAACCTTCCAGTCAACCACCATCCATTCAACAAAGTGAGTATCCATCCACCATTCCAACATCCATCCATTCGCCTGAGTCCATCCAGCCATCTGTCTATTTATGTATCCATCCATTCATCCATTGATCTATCCATCCCTCTATCCATCCATCCATCCATCCATTCATCCATTCATCCAGTCATTGGTCTATCCCTCTTTAGCTGTCTGACTCGTCTGACCATCCATTATTTTACCTATCCGTCCATACAGTCACACGTTCCTCCTACACTTATTTGCTGGTCCCTGCGGAAGGGCCCCTTCTGGCCCCAGGCCTGCAGATCCCAGGGTTTCTGGTTGAGGGTGTGGCTGTAGCGGGTCTGGCCTCCCTCTGACTCCCGTCTTGCTTGCCCCCTCTCACAGGCATCGGCTATGCCTCCATCGTGATCGTGTCCCTCCTGAACATATACTACATCATCATCCTCGCCTGGGCCATGTACTATCTGTTCCAGTCCTTCCAGTCGGAGCTCCCCTGGGCCAAATGCAACCACAGCTGGAACACACCCCATTGCCTGGAGGACACCTTGCGGAAGAACCGGAGCCTCTGGATCTCCAATAGCACCACCAACTTCACCTCCCCTGTCATCGAGTTCTGGGAGTAAGGCTGGCCTCGCGGAGGAAGGAGGGGCTAGGGGTGGGGGCAGAGGACAACCCATGCCCTCATCTTCTCCCTGGGGATGTAGGAGCCACTTCCTTGGGGTGGAGTGGGAGGAAGTGGGGGGTACAGATTTGGAGATAAATCCATGCCTTTGGTCTCAGACAGGCCTGGAATCGAATCTCAGTTCTGCCATTTTACTGGCTGTTTGACCTCCAGCAAGTCACTGCCCCTTTCTGAGCCTCAGTTTCCTTAACTGTCAAATGAGGACAATGAATCATTCCTACACCCATGGGATCTCTGTGACGATTGTTTCCCAAAGGCAGGTATATGTACTTAGATTGTCTGAAAGTGATATAGTTTTCTTAATGTACTTTAGGGAAAAAAAATATATATGTAGTTAGCGCATCAAACTTGTTATTGCCCAGAGGGGGAAAAAAAAGCATATATGATGCTTGAAGTAGTTATTCAAGTGAACAAGTGAGTAGACAGAGTGAAAAATATGTATCAGTTAGCATTTGCTGTGTAACACCCATCCCCAAATTGGAGCAGCCATTTGTTTTCTTTGGCTCATGGTCCTGCCCCTTGGCAGTTGGGGCGAAGCTTGGCTGGGCAGTTCTTCTGGGCTTTGCTGGGCTCCCCTCCCCTGGAAGGTAACTGTACGTCATCAGGGTCACTCTTCTGGAGACTGGCTGGCTCTTGGCTGGGATGCCACAGGCAGCTGGTCGCTATGGCCTCATCACCCTACAGGCTAGCCTGCCCTTGTTCCTAGGCAGCTCAGAATCCCAAAACCACACACGGGAAAGCCCCAGTGCTGGAGCACCTCTCCAGCCTCTGCTGGTACCATTTTTGTTAAGGTCCCGTTGGCCAAAAAGAGGCCCAGGACTAACCCAGACTCGAGAGGTGGGGGAATAGGCTCTGTCTCGAGGAAGGAGAATTACGGGCATGTTTGGAAGCTGCCCACACTATAGCCAGCGACGGCAGAAGCATACACATGGGCCAGACGTGAGGAGGGCAGAGCGTGGAGGCCTGCATTCGGATAGCTCTTCGCTGACGTACAGCGTTGTCCTTCTAACCCAGCGCTGGGAGCCCATCAAAAATGGGTGAGTGCCTTGCTTTCGCTGCTCTCCGTGAGCTGTTCAACGGGTGCTTAGCAGCCCCTCCAACCCCGGAAGGAGCAGACAAGGCCTCGCCTGGGGTGAGAGCCAGGGCAGGGAACGGTGTCAAGGAAGCGCCTGTCGCTACCAGACAAGACCCCCTCTCCCTCGTGTGTGGATTTGCTGCGTCGAGGAGCCTCTCCTCCTCTTAGAACCTGGCCCTGGCGCCGGCCCACAGAAGAGGGAGCTAAGCGCTGGCTGGTCCCAGCCGATCGTCAGGGCCGGGGCGGGGGGCACTCAGGCTGGAAGGGGCCACTTGGCCACTCCCCCAGGTAATCCACGGACCCCTCCTGACCTCAGGCCTTTAGGGGTGCTCATGGGTCCCGGGGCTCCTGCAACTGGGCTCTTTCCATGGAGGTGTTTCCCACTTGCAGACAAAGAGCTTTACAGGAACATCCCCTCGCCCTCAGCCCTGACCCCTGACCCCTTGCTCCTCACGCCTGGACAGCTGAGTTTGCAAAGGAATGCGGGCATTTCTTTCTTCTCACTTGAACAGGGCCGGAGGGGCCGGAGGCCAGGGCCCTGTCCCTTCCCTGCTGTGCCTGGCACGGCCTGACCACCCAGGGCCTGCCCTACCCAGGACGCTGGCACTCACCCAGCCCCTCCCGCGCCCGCTGGGGCCTAGCTGCCTCGGGCACAGGTTGGCCGCCTGGGAGGGAGCCCTCATTCTGCCAGCGCTGGCTCGGGCTGGTGCCTCTTCCTCTCTGAGCCTCCGCGTCCTGAGCTGTACTTGGGAGGTCATAATGCTGCCCTCCCAGGCCATAGGACCCCCCCCCAACAGAATGAGGCCCTGCATGGCCATCCGTCAGGGCCTGCTTTATACATGTGAGCCATCCCTATCTACTTAGTGAGTATCCTCACTGTGGGTAAAACTGCTCCCGCTTGGGACACCTGACGCTCAACCTCGGGGGGACTAAGAGTGGTCCCTTCCTGATGCCCGTGTGATGCCCCCCATCACAGAGGGGCTGTCCCCTCTGTCTCAGGCCTGAGCCCTCGTGAACCATGAGGTCCTCTCCCGTGCCTTCTCCCCAGCCTGGGCCCTGCTGGGGGACTCCAGGGCTTCCGCCTTCCCGAACCCCCATTCTGAGCATCCCAGCTCCCTTCCCTGGCCCGCGTGGTCCACAGAGAGCGGCTCCATCCAGAGACTGCCCACCGCCCGCCCAGTCTCCCCGCCCCGCCGGCCTTTGCAGCCTCCCACCGACCCTGGCCGAACGTCTGCAGTCCCCGGGGAGGAGGAGGCTTGGCTGGGAAGACCTGCCTGGTACCTGAGGGGCCGAGGCCGCCTGCCTTCAAGGGCCTCCCCTTCTCTTGGGTGCGACGAGGGCGAAGGAGAGAGAGCGCCCGTGAGCATCGTCCCAGGGACTTGCTCTCGTCATTTTGTCCCCGCTTCGTGGAGGCCCTTTAGGGAGGGAACACATCTAGGAGTCATCCCCAACTCCTTTCAGCTTCAACCTCAGACCCCGCCCCTGTCTGGTCCTCTAGGCTCTCCGTGTAAAGTACACCCAGACTCTGGCCATCCTCCCCACTTGCATGGTGGCCGTCCCCCCCTGCCCCCCGCGGCCCCGGAAGACCACCGTCTTCCCTCCCCTGTTACGGGTGCGTCTCCGCAGCCAGCTGTGAAGCCACACATGTCATCTGTCAGCTCAGAAGCCTCTCCTGGCGTTTCCGTGCTCGTAGGCTTGCCCAGCCAGGGAGGGGTAGGGTTAGCCTGGAGTAGCACATCGCTCCCTCTCTCTGGCCTCGTTTCCTTGTCAGCAAACAGAGGGGCTGGGTGAGCTGGGCTTTGGGGGATGAGTGGGAGTTCGCTGGGCTAAAAAAAGAGGGAAAGACAGCCTAGACAGAAGGAACAGCCATGCCGAGGCGCGGCGGTCGTAAAGCTCGTGAGAAGCAGCCCGTCCTTGGTTTGGCCCGAGGATAGGACGTGTGGAGCCAGGGAGAAGGATGGAGCCCTGGACGCTAGGCAGAGAAGGTTGGACTTCGTTTTCTAGGAGGAGGAACCATGGCAGCTAGAGAAGGGGCGGAGAATCACGTGATTGCATCTGTGTTCTCTGAACTCGCTCAAGGAACACACTGGGGAGAGACAGGCTGGGACACATATATTGAGCACCGACTGTATGCAGGGCCTCAGAGGGCTCGGCCATCAGAAGATGGATTTCCCTTTAGGGTGAAGCTCAGCTTGTACGGTTTCCCCTCAAAATAGCCACCGGCCCTGCAGTGACTATCTCTGGGGTGTCCACGGAGAGAGGCTTGCTGGGACGGGACTGAGGTGTCGCTGGCTGGTACCCACTGGGCTGCTGCCATCCTTGGAGCCAAAGCCCATCGCTGGCCTTCGCCTCCTTCACCCTCTCAGCTGCACCAGACACACGGGACCCTGAGCTGGCCCCCGCTTCTGCACATGAGGCCTGACGGTGCTCGGGCTTCTAGCTGACGGGGCACCACGGAGCCAAGCCTTTCTCCTGGCTCCGGGCAGGCAAGGGCCTGGACGCCCGTCCCTGCCAGGCCCACCTCCCCTCTGGTTTTCCACGAGGAGGAGTGGAGAGCCGCGGGCCATGCTGCCGTCCCCTCGATCCTAGAGCAGGGATCCTGACTCTAGCCCGGGGGCCCAGCTGCCGGCCTCAGAGCGGTCACCCCTCTCCAGGGCTCTCAGAGGTGGCGAGGTCCCGTCACCTCATGGCCTGGCCGAGGGTTAAAGAGCACGGGCCTCGGGCCTAGGCTTATTAGGTGGGACGCTGAGGATCAGAGTGGTTAAGCGACTTGCCCAAGGTCACACAGGCAGCTGGGCGTAGTGGAGAGCTCAGCCCTGAACACCTCTAGTGTCTGCATCCCCACCGGCCGTCCACGGGCACAGGTAACGTTGTGCCGTGTGTGTGTGTGTGACCCCACTCTTAGGTGACGCCTAGGGTCTCCTCTTGGCCTAGATCCCCACACCTGCCCCGTCTGCAGCACCGAGGCACCAGCCTCGGTGGGAGCCGTTGAGATGCCCTTCTCCCTTGAAGGATGCCTGGGACCCTCGAGATGGGCGTTTCACGCCAGCTTTAGAATTGAACTCTTGAGTCGCTTGGAGATGCGAAGGCAGAGCCTCTGCCCCCAGCCCGCCCCGTCCTCCTTGCCCCTGCGCTGAGGTCACCTCGGTCCCGGGGGTCCTGTTTGTTGCCCCCTGGCCCTGGAGGACAGGCGGGGTCAGATCTGGCCAGCTGCCCTCCATCAGCCTGGAGCCATGCCTTCCTCCCCAGTTCCTCCAGGACCCCCTGGGAGCTCAGCACATATCATTAGACTTTATTAGAATCAAAGAAATGAGTCATATTTGCAAACAAGCCCTGCTCAGCCAATCTCCCCCGGCAGCTGTCAGAAGGCGGAGGCGGCGTGGAGAGAGCCTGGTGCGGCCTCCTTCTCGGGGCGGACGGGCTCTTTTATAATTGTTGCCTCCGCCAGTCTCCAGGGAAGAGCTATCGCCAATAAATGGCTGGCCGGCATTCAAAAGGAAACGATTTGGCCCACTCGGAGGACGTATTTACATCTCTGAGTGCCGGCTGGACGGCAGCGGGGCGGCTGACTCCAAACAGACGTCCAGGCGATTCTTTTTTGGATCCCACCCTGGAATGAATCAGTCCTATTCTCGGACAAGAATGCAGCTCACCTCTCGGCCTCCTACTCTCTGTGTGAGGGGTGCGGAGAAGCCTGGGGTGCTGGGGCCTCTCACCAAAGGATAACATCATACACAGTGCATGGGTGATGGGTGACTGGTCCCCAGGGTGGCATCAGAGAAAAAGAACCAGAGCCAGGGCTGATTGTTTGTTTGTTTGTTTGAAATCTGGGTGATTTCAGGAGAATTCCTGAACCTCTCTGAGCCTCAGTTTTCCCATCAACCAAATGGGTGTAATTAATCAACTTCACTCATGTCTGTTGAGCACTCACTATGTTAGCCAGGCGCTGTTCTGGATCCAGCAATGGTCAGGACAGACACAGGCCCCTGCCTCCATGAAGATGATGCTTCGGTAGGACAGACAGACATGAGACAGATAGCGCAAGTAACATTGTAATAGACAAGCGATGATAAGTGAAGGAAGATAAAGCCGAGAGAGGGAGGGAAAGAGGGTTGACCAGGAGTGCTTTTTCCATCGGGTGGCCAGGAAAGGCTGCCTTGGTGGAGGGGTGGTGTGCAGCCAGTTCAAAGGTCCCGAGGCCGGGCGGGACTGGACCTGTTCAGGGCACATACCTGAAGCCAGTGCAGCTCAGGAAGGCGGGGCAGGGGCCCTGGGGATGAGGACGTTGTGCATGGACCTCGTCCTGGACGGGTCCCCTGTATGCCCGTGGTCCCAGCCTCTTCTTAACAGGCACCACCCTGTCTCTTTAAGACGTCTGTGTCTGACTGTCAGAGTGCTTGGCCAGCCCACTCAGGGAGGCAGGAAGGAATGGGGCAGGGAGGTGGGAGCCATGGGAGGCGTGACACCTGCCTTGGGTGTTGCCAGATTCTGTCTTGATAAGAACAGACTGGGGGTGAGAGTGAAGGCTGGAATATCACCGTCGAGGCTGCTGAAACAGCGCTTGGGAGCAGTGGGAGCCGGGACAGGGGTGGGGCGATACGGCCGGATTTGGGGGAACTTGTGCAGCCTCTGGGAAGGTCGGGGGCACTGGTGAGGGGCAGGCCCTCCCTCTGGGGTCCGGCACTCTACAGCTTACCGAGCACTCCCATGCACCAGAGCGGCAAGGCCCAACAGATCCCGGGCCGGGCCTCGTGGGCATCCGACAGGAAAAGGTCCTTCAAACTGTGTCCGTTCAGCAGGGATTCCGATGGGCCCGCACGCTCTCCGGCCTCCCGGCCACCCCCGAGATGACTTTGGAAAAGACGTTGGTTACTTTGGCCGGGAGCCCACGTCGGGTTCTGTTATGACAACCCCTGACTGACAAGAGGACTTTGGTTCCGTTCCTAGAACGTCTGCACGGCCAGCCCCTTGCAAGCCTTTGTAAGAACCTTAATTTTTGTGAAGGTGGCATGTGCCCATTAACAGCGTTCAGATGGTTTGAGAAACACATTCCATGGCCAGTGAGCCCCCCTCCGCCGCATCCCCCGGGCCAGTGGCTGCACCGTTTGCCTCGTGTGTCCTCATCACGTGCCTCACCCTGGGACGTCGCCCCTTACCAGCACGCGGGGAGATCCCTGCGGTCTCGCAGGCTGCGTGACACTCCGCCCCGCGCCTGCTGCACGCCTGCTGGGACCCCTCCCATGGCCCCTCTGGCTGGCTGGTTTCCTGCCGTTTGCTCCTGCAGACAGCCGAGGTGAACAGCTTGAGGTGTGTGCTAAGTCGCTTCAGTCGTGTCTAACTTTTTGCCACCCCATGGACTGTAGCCCACCAGGCTCCTCTGTCCATGGGATTCTCCAGCCAAGAACACTGGAGTGGGCTGCCATGCCCTCCTCCAGGGGATCTTCCCAACCCAGGGATCGAACCCACTTCTCTTATATCTCCTGAATTGGCAGGTGGGTTCTAGTGCCACCTGGGAAGCCCGAACAGCTTAGGGTGGACCCTGTCATTGGCCATATCATCCAGGAGAGTCTTGGCATAGAATTGCTGGATCGCAGGAAAGGTGCCTTCAACGGTTACTGTTGGCACCTCGGAAGGGCTTTGCCACCAGCCATGGAGAAGCAAGTGCATGACTCGGTTTGCCCGTTGTGGCCTCTGTGGCTGGGCAGCTGCCAGAGCAAGCCCACGCGGGCCCCTCCCATCCGTAGTGGGCACCACGGGTTTGCCCAGCACGGTGGTGGGAGCTGGCAGGAGGATGCCAGTGACCTGAGCATGTGGCGGGTGTGGTCAGAATCGGGGCTCTGGGGCTTTGGGCTCCTCGGTCAGCTCACCCCTAAGGAGAAAGGAAAGGCCTTCTTGTGACTGGACACCCCGCGGCACTGGCTGAGCACCTGCTGTGTGCCTCCTCCGCAGTGTATCTGGAGTCTGGTAGGCAAGACAGACTCCCCGCAAGGGCGATGTCCAGGGTGAGGGGGTGACCAGGGAGCTGGAACGACACTAGTCATCCAGAGCATCGCAGGAGACCTCCCTGGGAGCCTGGAGAGGTGCCTCCCCGAGGCTGCCCATTCACACGGAAGACTTGGCCGCTGCCCAGCAGGCCCCAGCTTCGTGGAAGGAGCCGAGCCCTGGAGGCCGCGCCGGGAATGGCTTTGTTCTAAAGCTACCGCAGGGCCAGACCCATGTACTTGTACTTGACCAGGTGCATGGCCTGCTCGCGAGGATGCCCTGGGCCCTGAGGGTCCAGCGAGCCCTGCCGAAGCAAGGCCTGGAACGATTCTTGTTAAACTGAAGGCTCCGTTTTCTGTGTTAATCAGAAAAGGTACTGGAGCCGGGCGAGCACTGGCTTTGGGGGCCGGATAGCCCCGGATACGGCGGCAGCTCTGCCACCTGCTGGCCGTGTGTCCGTGGGTGGTTGGATCCCCAAGCCTCAGTTTTCCCCATCTGTAAAATGGGGCCAGGGACTCTCAGGCCTTGGAACCAGATGAGATAAATTAGAAAAGCCTCGTTGATGGGACCTCGGTGCCTGGGGGAGCCCCTGGATGTCGGAGTGACCCGCAGAAAAGCCTGAGTGCCAGTTGAGGTGGGAATCTTGGATTTATTCAAGGTCCTCATGTTGAAGCTTCTTTGGAGAAAAGTGAGAAGCAGTGAGAAAGTGTCCTGGGCCGGCGGCCCTCTGAGCCCTGACCCTGGGGATTGGCCTGCACACAGACTGGCTGAGAGCTGCGGATGGCCTGGGAGCAGGAGCTCGTACTTGTGTTTTGCAGAAGGGGACACAGAGGGCAAGTCCAGTGCCCCCCTTGCCTCTCCTGCCCGAGACTGTGGCCCTTGAATGAGGAGCTGGGTCTTGAGGGGGTGCCAGCTTCTAGGGAGCAGGAGCCTGTGATGGCAGAGCCCTGGGGGCCAGTGTCCCTGTGCTCAGCCTGGCTGCCCTCGGTCACTGCCACAGCAGTCGGAGCGCTGGGACCAGGGGGCCGGTTTCTGGGCGTTAAGTCTCATCGTCTCTCAGCAGCCTGCTGGCCCCACTCCAGCTTCAGGAGGCGTCTGCCCCTCGGGGGCATGTCTGAGTAGCGCTGTGGGCATCTCCCCTGGTCAGCGCGGCTCTTGGACCCCAGAGGCCCAGGCTCTGCCCTGTGATACTCGTCTGTGATGATCGTCCTTCAGACCGTTCACGCACCTCCTCCCAAGCCCTCCTCCCAAGTCGCAACCCTGGCCGGGGGCAGGGGAGGCAACAGCTCTCCCTGGGTGCCCAGAGCTGCCCTGGGGTCTCAGCGCCGAGACAGTAATGACCGCCATGGTTTACTGGCTGCTGGCGGCATCCAGGGCCAGTGGTTTGTACTTCGTGTGGCTTGTCTCCTAACCCTCCAGAGGGGTGTTTGGGTGTCCTGCAACCACAAATACAACCAACACCCTGGAGACTTATCTTTTAGCAAGAGATCCAGATAAGGAATGGGGGCAAAGAGGGACAGGACAGAGAATGTGGGGTGGAGGGGGAGTGAGGTAGGTGGTTATTCCCATTTTAGAGATGAGGAGACTGAGGCAGGCAGCGGTCACACGCTGGAGCCCAGTTGGAACCCAGTGTCTGGCCCACAGGGGACACTGGGCAAGGGCCTGCGAGAATCGATCACACAGGAATCAGTACCTAGTTCACAGATGAGGAAACTGAGGCTTAGGGGTTTAACCTAACTTGTCCGAGGCCTGGCTGGATAGAACCCAGGTTCGCCTGACTCGAGTTCAGACCCACCCCGCTGGCTGGCTTCCCCACGACTCTGTGAAACTGGGGTTACCTGAGATTTCCCGAGACCCGCGGGATTCCACAGCTTGGAGCCAGGGCTGAGCCGCAGCCTCTTGGAACCCCAGTGCCGGCTCTCCCAGCCCCGGGCCAGCCCGTCTGACTTGGGGCTCTGTTTGCTTGAAGGCGGAAGGTGCTGAGCCTGTCTTCCGGGATTGACGAGCCGGGCGCGCTGAAGTGGGACCTCGCTCTCTGCCTCCTGCTCGTCTGGCTGGTCTGTTTCTTCTGCATCTGGAAGGGCGTCAAGTCCACGGGCAAAGTGAGTTCTGCTCCCCTCCCCTCCTGCCTCGTGGAGCCTGGCCCTCTGCAGGGTCATCTCCCGCGCCCCCGGGGCCCTCTTGCTCAAAACTGGTCCTGCTTAACCAGTTCTTCTAGCAAACCTGGAGCCCCCTCGGTTGTGGCATTTGCCCAGTTCACAGTGCAAATCCGCCCAGCAGGTCCAATTTCAAGTTACTGATGATTTGACAATCAGCCTGCAAGATTCCTGAAATGGAGCGGTCTGCTCTCCAAACTGGAGAAGGAAATGGTAACCCACTCCAGTGTTCTTGCCTGGAGAATCCCAGAGGCGGCGGAGCCTGGTGGGCTGCCGTCTATGGGGTCGCACAGAGTCGGACACGACTGAAGCGACTTAGCAGCATCAGCAGCTCTCCAAAAGCCCACACACCACTGGTACCCCACTAGGGAGTGGTGGCTCGCGTGGATGTTAGCAGATAACAAACCCTGAGACGCCAGTGAGAAGTTAACTGGTAACGGTGTTAGCTACCAGCTGCTCACCAGCCACAGGGACCCTTGCGACCTCAACATCCCCTGTAGACTCTTTAGAAATGCAGACCTGCGGGGCTGACCCCAGACCTACAGAATCAGAAGCTGCATTTGAACACTTTTTCCCCAGATAATCCAAATGCACACTGAGGCTTGAGAAGCAAAACTTCTCAACTGGCATTTTTGCAGCTAAGTCAGATTAACTGAATTATCTGAGGCCTTACATTTCAGCTGTTAACGAGGATGTTAGTTATTAAGGAGAGCTCGCACCAATCGTTAAGTAGTTTGCTCATAACCTAAGCGCTGGCTGTCGCTGAAGTATCTGCTGCTGGTTAATATGTTATGTAGTGACCGAAACGTTAGCTGTTAACAAAGGTGGTAGCTGAAAATTCCTGTTACCTTATTCACGCAGGTTTGAGGTGCAGCTGGTATATTGTCAATAATGAAACTGTTAGCCTGTAACTGAAACGTTACCTGTTAACAGGGCCGGGCAGTGGCTGACCTGATAAGCAGAACACCAGCCAATATAAGACCATAGTCATCCTGGAGGCAGAGACCCTCCAGAGGGTCACCTTGGGCTCACCCGGGCGAGCCCAGGGCGCTAACTAAGCCACAGCGTTGGCTGGTCTGCCCTCACGTGCCCCGTGTCTGCCATCCCCCAACCCCCTTCATCTGCATCTCCACTGGGGACAATCTCTTTAAGATCGAGACTCCCTCAAAGGGCAAAAGAGTTAAGGTGGCATTTGAAGGACAGTGATGGGCAGTGGGTGACGTCATTGGGAGAAGGGACTTTTCACTGCGAGTTCTCACTGGGTGAAGGGCGTCTTAGGTAAAGTCATGATCTGAAGAGACAAGAGCTAAAGGGGGAGCATAACGTGGTGGAGAAAGACAGGAGTATTGGGTGCAGTTTTGGGCAAGGCTCACCAAGAAGGTCGCTTAGAGGCGTAGATCTGGAGGAAGTGAGGGGTGAGCCATTCAAAGGCCCAGAGGTGTGTCTGACCAGACCCCCGGGGAGCCCCTAGTCCGATGGAGGAGCTGATGTCCGCCAGGAACCGTGAGCCTCACCCGAGACACGTGCAGGGGCAGGAGACCAGAGTCGAGACGAAATGGAGAGGGTCTGTCCCAGGGCAGCTGACAGACGTGACTGGCTGGAGGTCCCCCTGCCGCCCCCAGAGAAGAGGCTCCAGGCCCCCAGGGGCGGGCGTGGTCCCCAGAACAATAGCAGGGCTGGGGCCAGCCCCCAGGGAAGCCAGGACAAACACAGGGAGGATCCGAGGACTTCCTCGAGCGCCTCGGCCGCCCGCCACTGGCCGCGACTCCCAGCCCTGGCCGTAGACCAGGTTTGCAGCCGCCGTGGGGGCCGGATGGCCTCATCCTGGCTGTGGCCTTGCTCAGTGGCTGACCCCGGCGTGGCTGGGGCTGGGGAGGGGGGAGCTCCCAGGCCTGGGAGGCTTGAGACCCGAGTTCAGGTCACTTGGCCTCCCTGGATGTCAGTTCCCTTGTTTGTAACATCATTCATCCTTCTGAGGGTCTGACACTTTGCCCAGAGCTCACTGCTGCTCAGTTCATCCAAGAAATTGTGATCGTGGTGCGAAAGCTTGTGCCAGGCACCATTCTCAGCTCTGATTATTAGCTCTTTTAATCTCCTGGCGTCTGATGTACGCGTGGCTCCTGCTCTGTTTTACAGAGGAGGTGGTAAGAGGAGATGTTTTGGGGGAAATGGAGAGGCAGAGAGGTTGATTTGTTCAAGTCGACACAGCTTGTCGGTAGCCCGGGTAGCATTTGAGCTCGGGCAGCCCAGCGCCCGGCCTCGGGGCCCTGCATTCTCCTGCCTCCTCTGGTCGCCTGCTCTTGCAGCACATTAGGCCACAGGGGGTTACAGGGATCCAGACCCTCCCACGGGAAGGGCAGCCCCATGAACCCCACCGGGAGTTCCAATCCCAGACGCGAGCACAGGCCAGTGTCTCCAGACCTGGTGTGGGGTCTCGGCTCTGTGCCCGCAGCCTGCATGATCAGTCCCTTCCCCCAGGAGCCTCAGTTTCCCCCTGTGTGAAATGAGTCGTGGTGCTTCCCCCAAACACACATGAGGTGCTTGGCGCCCGCCAGGCCCTGGGCCTCTGGGGTGAGGGACCCGCGCTGCCCAGGCGACCTCCCCAGAGGAAGCCCAGGGAGGCAGAGACCAGCCTGTCTCCCTCATGCCTGGCCAGCCACCCTCTGCCCGCCATCCCCGGGGGAGGAGGAAGCGCTGGCTTTGTAAGTTTCCAGGGCAGTCGGGCCACAGGGCTTTTGGGTCGCGGGCTCAGAGCTGCCACGGAGGTTTGCCAGCAAGAGTGGAAAAATACCGTATCCCGGCACAGGGCCCCTGCCAGAGGCCCACTGGTGGCGCCTGGCAGAGCCGCTCCCGCGGGGATCCCGAGAGTCACGGGGAGGCTGAGAGGGTGGCGCTCAGGGACTGGGCCTCGGCAGATTCTGCAAAACAAGGGTGTCCTGCCAGAGAGGCCGCCATGGTGGTGTGAGCAGGTGGGGTGTGCTGCCCTGGGCTTGAGGAGGAAGCGTGCACACACAGACACAGACACACACAGACACACAGACACACACTCACAAGCACACACACATAGACACACAGACACAGACACACACTCACAGGCACACACACATAGACACACACACACAGACACGCATGCATATACATAGACACACACATATACACACACAGACACACACTCACAGGCACACACATAGACACAGACACACACACACAGAGACACACAGACACACAGGCACACACACATAGACACACACACACAGACACACACACATAGACACGCACACAGACACGCATGCATATACATAGACACACACAGACACACACTCACAGGCACACACACATAGACAGACACACACAGACACACACACATAGACACGAACACAGACACGCATGCATATACATAGACACACACAGAGACACACAGACATATACACACACAGACACACACTCACAGGCACACACACATAGACAGACACACAGACACACACTCACAGGCACACACACATAGACAGACACACAGACACACACTCACAGACACACACTCACAGGCACACACACACAGACATAGACACACACACACACACACACACACACACGCCAGGCCTGGGAGGTGTCCTGTGTCCCCGACTCGAAGCCCCCCACCCTCGCCCGCCTGCCCAGCCCAGGGGCCCAGGGGGCTGTGCGCTTTGAGGCGGGGGCCCTCCGCCCTGGCCCACGGCTGTCAGCACCATTGTTCTCCGCGGGGCTGGGGCCGGGGCCGGGGCCAGAGCAGCCTGTGGGCCAGCCGTCTTTCTTTTGCCCCTTCTGTGGCTTCCTGGCTGGCCCCCACCCTCCACGTCTGCCCGCTGGTCCCTAGGACACAGAGGGCTCTCCTGTCTTCGGGAGAAGACTGCAGGGCGGCCGGGGAGATGGGCCTGCAGATACGGAGGGGGCTTCAGGTGGGGACGTGGAGCCCAGAGAGGGGCCATAGCTTGTCCAGGGTCTGACAGCCAGCCTGCCGCAGAGCCGGATCTCCGGCCTGAGCCCTGGAGCCCTCGGGGACCCTCTCTGGGAGGACCGGACAAACCGCAGACATTGAGGGGCCCTTTCCTGCCGGGCTGTCGTCGCTGAAGCAGGTGCTAGACCATCCAGCTCCGCCGCCTGAGTGCCGTGTGACCCTTGGGCAAGGGACGGCTCTGCAGGCCTCAGTTTCCCCATCTGCAGGACGGGGTCAGGGCAGGACCCGCTGAGCGCAGAAGTTACTGCACATGCATCGCACCCAGCACACAGGAAGCGCTCGGTAAACCCTGGCAGCTGAGCCCGGCGGGTCCTGAGAGCTTCCTTCGCACCCTTTTCAAAGCCCGCTTTTAGTTGTTTCTACTCGAAGGGATGGCGGCTCCATCAAGGCTTCCCGCGGCAGCTGGGCAAGGCTCTGTCACCCTCTGTCTGTGTCTGTCACCTGGGTCCCGGGAGTGCCCCGTACTTCCCTGGCACTGTCCCCGCCCCCAGCGCTGTGAACCTTCATCCTGCTCTCTGGGCCTCAGTTTCCACACCTGGAAAATGGGCGCACTGGCCATGCAGTGGCCCCCTCCCTGGTCCCCCGACCCCCTCAGAAGGAGCTGGGGGCTCTGTGAGCTAGCCTCAGCATTTCTGCCGGTCACCACGGACTTTCGCGTGTCTGCCACCACGCACCAAGATGCCCTGTGCGCAGTGGTGGTTTGAAGACATCTGGGAGCCCCACCCAGCCCCTGTTCGTCCTCCGACAGCAAGGCGGCCAGCACATTGATTTGCGGACGTGCTGAGCATGGGGTAGGCTGCTGCTCAGGAGACCGGGCTCAGCCAGGGCCCAGCCGAAATAGCGGGATTTCACTGTCAATGCCCCCGGGCACCTTCGAGCCCCGTCTCAGGCACACGCCCCTCCTGGGAGCTTCTTGTGCTGGAGTGAAAGTTGGGAAAATCCAATCTGTAAACGGAGGCCACAGGAGGTTTGAAGGCCAGTGCTTTGGGGACAGGACGGGGAGAGGAAGCAGGGCAGGGCCCTCGGGGATGGAAAGGCGTGGCCTGGGTCGTGTGTGGTCCCCGCCTGCCGTTGACCTCACCCTGCCTGGGACGTGAGGCGCGACGCATCCTGGTTTCCTCTCCAGAAGTTCCCCGGTGCTTCCTGCACAATCACCCGGCCAACAAAAGACCCCACTTTTTGCACGTCTAAGCAGCCACCTGCCTTGTGCTGTTTTGACCACGTTGTGAGCATCATTCTGTTGAATCCTCGCCTTGCCCAGTAGTGAGGGCCTTCTGTTTCTCTTATCCCCACTTTACACATGAGGCCACAGGCCCAGAGAACGTAGGCATCATGCCCGAGGTCACACAGCACATGAGGGGACGGAGCGAGGATTTGATCCCACACGTACCTGGTTCTGAACCTCAGGTCATATGAACGCTGCAAATGTTCAGTTGCTCATTCGTGTCTGACTCTGAGACCCCATGGACTGCAGCCCGCCAGGCCTCCCTGCGAATGTTAGCTGATCTGTACTGCGCGCTGTGGGCCAACCCCTGGGCATCCACCTGCGATCGTTTACTCTGTTATTGGGCCTTTTCCTTTTTTCACCCGCTGCAATGTCAGTTCCATGAGGGCAGGGACTGGTTCTCTGTATTTGCAGGGCCCCGTAAATATTTGCAGGATTCGAATGTCAGTAAGTCTGTGTGTGAGGTAGGTACGTGCTTTATACCCAGGTTGCCAGTGAGGCGCCTGCAGCCCAGAGAGGGTGAGCCACACACCCAAGGTCGATCAGCAAGGGAGGCAGCAAGCCTGGCCCTGGAGCGTCGGCCTTGGAGCGGATGCTGGGTCGGGGAGTGGCTGAACGGCTCCCGCCCCTTGCAGGTCGTCTATTTCACGGCCACCTTCCCGTTCGCTATGCTCCTGGTGCTCCTCGTCCGTGGGCTGACGCTGCCCGGCGCGGGCGCAGGCATCAAGTTCTATCTGTACCCCGACATCAGCCGCCTGGAGGACCCAGAGGTACCGTGGGGCAGCCTGGCCTCCCTACCCCACCCCCCGGGGCCGGCACGGGGGTGGGGGGGGGGAGGAAACCGAAGCCGTGCCTGTGCTTCTGGGCCCCCAGATGGAGCCAGGGTGGGGGAGTACTGTCAGCCCTGGTACTTTTCCACTGGGCCCTGGCGGGTGGCTCACGGTGCCCGCCGGCCATCCCGGCGGTGTGTATCTTTTCGTGTCGAGGGCCTCCCGAGGCGGGCCAATTATAGAGGCTGCTTTAGGCACGGCGCCAGGTAAGGCAGAGACGTCTCCGGAAGCTGGTCTCCTCCTCTCCCCACGGCGGCCTTGAGGCTGCATCATGGGGGCGCCCTGGGCTGAGGGCGGAGTTCAGAGTTGTGACCTCTTAGAAGTTCTGGGGGGCAAACACTAACAGTCCCCCCCCACCGAGGCACTCAGCCACGTGGCCGTGGGGGTCGGGGCTCTCATGGGCCCGTTTCGGGGCCTTCTGTCCCCAGGGTCCTCAGCCTTCAGGTTGTCCCCAAGGGCCTGTGCCGCTTCAGGTCTCTTCCCCACGGTCCTCTCACCCTGGGCGGGAGGTGGGGGCCAGGGGCTCGGCCATCGTTGGAGGGCAGCTGGGAGACGGCTGGGCGGCCCTCGGGAGCTGCCTGCTGAAGGTTCTGGAGAACGGCTTTGCCTGCATAATCCATCCGGGAATTCCTCCCACTTCCAACGCAGGCGGGGGTCCCCACACTATAAGGATAGCAGCCTTGACTCACAGGCTTACCGTATATCTGGTGCTTAACTCTTTGAGCCTGCAAAAAAAAAAAAAAGAAGCGCTATGGGGCAGGGGAGCGGAGCCCACTTTACAGGTGTGAAAACCGAGGCTCCGGGAGTCATATTGACTTGCCCACGATGATTCCGTGGCTGGACTCCACGTCCCTCTGCTTCAGAAGCAGGGCCTCTTAACCCTGATGCTCAGTGAACTGGGAGGGGGGCAGCTCCTATACTTCTGGGGTTCTGCTTGCACCCTGGATTCCAGCACCGATGCTCCAGTCGCGTGGAGAATCCGCACACCTCGAGGCGGAGTCCGTGGGACCCACGCCGCCGCCTCCAGGAAGCCGGCTCTGACGTCCCTTCTCGTCTTGTCTTCGCCTCCCTCCCCCACCCCCACGCCCTTCCCAGGTATGGATCGACGCTGGGACCCAAATATTCTTCTCCTACGCCATCTGCCTGGGGGCCATGACCTCGCTGGGGAGCTACAACAAGTACAAATACAACTCCTACAGGCAAGTGTCGCGCCAGCAGGCCTGGCGGGCCTTAGAAGTGATGATGTTTAAAGAGAAGAAAAAAAGAGAAGTTAGGGAGCGTGGCTTCCTTGTGTTGTGAATTAACTTGCTCCCTGACATATGTGTAACATAGGGACTGTATGCTGCTGGGATGCCTGAACAGTGGTACCAGTTTTGTGTCTGGCTTCGCAATTTTTTCCATCCTGGGCTTCATGGCACAAGAGCAAGGGGTGGACATTGCTGATGTGGCTGAGTCAGGTATGGTGGTGTCGGTGGCAGCGGTGGTGGGTACTGCCACCTAGTGTGTGAGCCGAGTACTGCAGGCATGAAGCCAGACCCCGCCCCGGGGCTTTGGGGGGCGGTGAGCCTGGCTTCTGAAGTGGACCCCCACCCCACCCCCTTCTTGCACCATGATGTCCCCCAGGTTTCAAAGAGTTCAAAAGTTAAATTGGAAACATCATTGCGGTTTTGCCCCAGGGATGGCAGAAACATGGGCTGGTCAAGTCGGGGAAATACTCAGCGCTTCTCAAGTGGTCTTTCCGCACCGCCCCCAACCCACCCCACTCCCTGTCCTTCCCTAAAGCAGACTCCCGGTTGCAGCAACAGAAAGCACTTTCCGCACTCGGGGCAGGGCAGCCACCCGTCGGCATCCCGTCGCCACCTTCTCAGCTTCGGTTTCTGTATTTTGCACTTTGCTCTAAGCGACCCCCTTCATTCATCCCACCGCTGTCTCCTGGTTTGACTGGGTTGGTCTCTGCCCTGTGTCAAGCACCCACCGTTTTTGCCCCAGCTGGGGAAGGACCGGGTGTGACAGGCCACCCTCTGGGACGGTGACAGGTTCAGTTTAGGGGTAGGTTGTGGAGACCCCTCCACCCCTCGGGGGTGCGGGCTCCATGGGTGGGACGCTCCCCTCTGCAAGACAGCTGCAAGTGGAGTTGGTCTTAGAGCCAGAGTCTGCAGAGCCTGGAGGCTGAGGCTGGGATCCTGGGGTTCCAGCAAGATGGCTCTGGAACCCGAGAATTGTCAGGGCTTCAACTGCCACGACCCCAGAGCCTCAGAAGCCTAGGTGCCCCAGTTCCAAGAGGTGCCCCCACGAGCTCCCAGTCCTGGGCCCGCGGCTCTGAGCGGCAGGGCTTCCATGTGGCCCTGAGACCTCTCTCCCAGGACCCCCGGGGTCCACCTTTCCCGCTCCTCTGCCCGCCTCCCGTCCTGCCCAGGTCACCCAGAGGGCGGTTGTTGCATTTGTGCCCAGCCTGACCTCCTGACTTGCCAGGAGCCCTCAGGGGCCACCTGGGGGCAGGTGACGGTCCTAGACTGAGGCTTCTCCCAGGGCCGAGAGGAAACCGCAAGGTCCCGACTGTTGGGGCGCAGGCTGGAGTTCTTGCCCTTGTTGGAAACACAGGGTGGTGTCCTGGCTCCCCAGCCGGAGACCCTAGTGTTGGAGCTTGGGGACCTCAGCATCGTGTATTCAGAGGTCAGCGCCACCCCTGCGACCAGCAGCTTGAGAGCAAGGGCTGCTCAAGGTCGGATCTACGGTGTCCTGGGCAGGGTGCCCACCAGAGGCTGGACAGGCCCCTCTCACGTGAGGACGTGCCCCCTCCAGCCTCCCCGTCCCACCCTGCACGTATGTGATGGCCTCAGGCCCGTGGTGTGTGAGCCTCTCAGAGCCCCAGGCCCCGCTTCCCCCCACCCCGGCCCCCTCCTCCTGCACCCAGTGCTGCGGGGCAGTCCTGGCCAGCCCACGCCTCGGCCCCACACACCTCTGCCCTGTCCCGGGTCCCAGATCAGACGTTTAGACAGAGTTCTCCTTCCTTGGGAGCCCTCAGAGGCAGGCTGGAGACTGAGGGACCCAGGAAGTAGTTGCAGAAGTGAAGAAGCCATGCCCGCGTGGGAGTCTGGCAGAGTGACCGAGGGGAGAGTTGACACCCCCTTTGCAAATGACTATTCTTCAGCTGAGGGCTTGCCAACCAATTCTGATTGGTGGGGAATGGCCAGGAACGTGGAGGGAGTTGAGCGGTGGGAGGTAATCTGTCGGTACATGAAACAGATCCTTCTCTGCAGACAGCTAGGTACCATAACCTATGTCTTCACCATCAAGCTAAGTTGTGTCTTATTCCCGTCCACTTCAAAGACCTTGTTGTTTATTCCCCCACGGTGATGTCTGAACAGCCGACACATCAAGGGTGATTATTTCACTAATAAGCTTTTTAACAAGAACCATATTGAGTGAAGTGCATTGGAACAAGATAATTATTTAACCATGAGGAGCGCACATTGCAAATGAAGCGTAGCATAGGCGTCTCTGCTGCCCAGGGGCTCCAGCGGCTGCTGCGTCTCCTGCCCTCCGTCTTCAGTCCCCTTGCTTTCAGAGAAGGATGCTCACACCCTCTCCCCGAGGCTGGCCTGAGAAAGGCCACACACTGAAATACAGAAGTAGCTGTCGAGAAGCCTCAGGGCCCAGCGGGCGGGCGGGGGTGGGCTGGGGGGGGGGCCCCATTTTACATCTGTCTCCTGTGGCTGGGTTGACCCCTCCCGTGCCGCCTACGGTCAGGCCAGAGCTGACGTGGGGGTCCCAGGGGGCCCCAGCCCCGTGGAGACGAGGGTCCTACTCCAGTCAGGGCTTTGGGTTTGGGATGAGCGCCCTTGCGCCCCTCCTGGGGGTCTTCCACCATCGCCTCCGAGGACACGGTCGCAGTAACGGTCGGACTTTGCTTACATCAGGGTGGACTCTGGACATAACGGGACTCACCCTCGCCGCCACGCGTGTGGTCAACGCCGTGCGATGTGGTTTCTGGCTGCAATTTGTTTCAAAGCTGTTTTTTGTTTTTCTTTCTTAGACCGTTCATTTTGTTCCCGATCCCTGTTTTACTGTTTTAAATATCCTGTCCTCCAGCCCTGTTTGTTTCACATTTCTTGACTTTTTTTCTTTTTTTTTTTAGTTGTGGATTTTACTTTATATTTTTTCTTTAGCCCAAGCCCTTCTCTCTTTTGCGGCTCCCGACCCCCTGGGGAACCCACAGGCCTCGGTTACAACTCAGCCCTTCTCTGGTTGTCTTCGCTCAGGCCCAGCTGGAGGCGGGAGGGGACGTTTGCAATTGGAGGCACCCCCAGAACTGGTGGGGATTCTCCCTGCGTGTCAGAGCACCCCCTGGAGGCCACAGCCCTTTGCCAAGGAAGTGGCCCCAGCACCCGATAATTTGAGCAGGAGAAGCCTCCTCGGGGTTCACTGATGGGAGCCTGCCCCCCACCCCTGCGGGGAGACCGCCCCCTGAGGGCACGTGGTGATGTGGAGAGAGGAGGTGGTGGGCGGAGGACTGGACTGCGGCCAGGGGGCTGCCCGCCTGGGGTCTTACCCCCGCTCACCCCTCCCTCGGCTTTGGGCCTGGGCTGTCACGGTGCAGGGGGGTGCACAGATGCACCCCGAAGACACGTGGGCCCCGCAGGGCGTGGTTCCGTCTTCATTTTTCTGGCCACGTGTTCATTGTTTCAGTAGAAAGCTTTTCTCTGCAAACAGGGATTGATAGTCAGGTAACCAGAGCGCGCTCCCTGGTTTTGCCTCCTTCCAGCAAACACTGATGCGGTTCTCTGGTTTTGGGGGAAGCGGGGAGTCCCTCCTTTCCCCAGCGGGCAGACGGAGTCCCAGCTCAGTCCCGTCTCCCCCCACCCATAACCGGTGTCCGCTCAGAACCTGGTGCCTGAGAAGGCCAGCTGTGCTGCTGTGTAGGAGACAGATGCTAAAACGGGCCCCCGCCTGAGCCCCGCGCGTCCCACCCTGAGTGAGAACAGGCCTGGTCTCTTACCCCAGGCGGGCCCCTGCACCGGGGACTGGGGAGACCCGCCCCGGACCCCAAGTGTCTTGTGTGGCTCCGGGGCTCAAGGCAGCTCGGTCACTGATGACCCCCTCTGCCCCCCCCCCCCCCCCATCTTCTCTCCCCTTAGGTCCTGGCCTGGCCTTCATCGCCTACCCGAAAGCCGTGACGATGATGCCACTGCCCACGTTTTGGTCCATCCTTTTTTTCATCATGCTTCTCTTGCTTGGACTGGATAGCCAGGTACGTGCAGAGTGAGGGGATGGCCCCCAGGTGGGTCTGCCCCTGCGGGGGGGAATGGCCCCCCCTGGAAACCTGGTTCTGGCAGAGCCTCCCTCTGCAATGTGATGAGATGGTTGCAACCCCCAACACACACACACAGCCTCATGTCACGCCTGCAGCAGCTGCAGCCAGCAAGGGTTCCTGGACCCTGGAGGAGGGAACGGTCCAGGGCGGCAGCAGGATGTCATCTGCGCCAAAGCTCAAGCCTTTGACCTCAGCGAGGGAGAGAGACAGCCTCGGGTTGTGGGCCCAGGGGTACAAGGAGAAGGGTGAAACCACAGTGGTGGCACACGCCGCGGAGCACGGAGCCCCCGGGCAGGCCCCGGCGGGATCCGGTGCACAGGCTGTTCGGGCAGGCGGCCAACACAGCTGTCCGGGGCGCGAGTGGCCACTGACAGTCCTGAGCGCGGCCACGGAAGCTGAAACCAGGCTGTGCTCGCCACCTCCTAGGGCACGTGGGTCTGTGAGCTTGGCCCCCGCAGGGAAACCGAGCCCCCAGAGCCTCGCTCAACGTCCCCCTGCCCTCCCCACACAGACAGGAACCCCGCTACCCTATTATTGTCTCTCCCTGCACCTCTCACCCCCATGTCCCAGCTCTCCAGGGCTTAGGCCTCCCCCCTCCCCGGGGTGTGTCCACGTGCGCCAGCCGGGCCTGCGTCTGCCTTTGGAGACTCAGTTCCCAGTCCCACTCACCCCCACAGTGTTGCTTTGTTGAACACGTTTCCTCCACCCCAGCCTGTTTCCTCATCCGGTAAAGGGGTATGATTATATCTTCATTGCCTTTGGTGAAACGCCGGGTGCGCTTCCCTACGGGGAGCAGTCAGTGGTACCCGGAGGACGTTAGAGCGAGCCCCTGGCACTCCTTTCCCTGGAAATAGGCGTGTTTTCACTGAGGCCTTCTCGAGAGCACAAGTGTGACTCCAGGAGGGGGCAGTTAGGGTGGGCAGAGCGGGCTAGTCCTGTGCCCAGGGCCAGCCAGGGGCCTCCATCCGAGGCCAGTCTCTGACAGGCAGCCTCGTGTGCCAGCCGGAGGTCTGGATGCCTCACAGAAGTCTGGGCAGCTAGGACCCTGCGAGAGGCGGGGGCTGCACCCCTTCAGGAGGGAACCTTGCCCACCGTCCCCCAGGCAGCGGCCTGGAGGCCAGTGACCAGATGGGCCCCCGGGGACTCAGGACCTGGGAGATGGGAAGTCTCAGAAGGTCAGGCAGGGGAGAGAGGGCGGTCCGCTAACAAGGTCCAGAGCAGAGCGGAGGGTTTGGGAGAAAGACCAGGATTAGCAGAGAAGACAGAAGGAAAACATTTGGGAGAGGGGAAACAAAAATAACGAGAGGTTGTTGATGAACTTGAGCTGTGTAAACAGCAAGATGGCTCCATCCATCACCCCTAGTTAATGAGCTTGGCCTTAGGAGGCCCCCAGCAGCCAGCTTTTATAACCTCTTCCAGAGCTCTCAGCAAAACCCAAAAAAGAAAACAGAAAGAGATTAATAAAGGACAAAGCAGGCCATCTCCAGACTGGCCTCTTGGGCTGCGGAAGGGGCATAGGTGGCTATTCATTAGATTGCCCCTGGGAGGCAGCTGGGGCCTGGTGGAGGCTCTGCGCCTCACCCCCCACGGCCCTTCACCTCCGGCAGTTTGAAGCTCTCCAGGGCAGCCTCGCCCAGAGCGCGAGCTCTTCCGGTTCAGAGCATGGAGCTCGCAGCACCGAAAGGCCCGCCTGATTGACGCCCCAGGAAGGGGCGTGGTGGGCTTTGAGCTCTGGGATCCGTGGGGGAAGGTTTATAGATAGATCAGCACCAGCCATGATAAGGGCCCTATCCTGTGAGCTGTCCACTCGGACCAGGCTTCACATGTCACATGTGGAAAAATACACAGAACATGAAATTGACCCTCTTAGCCATCTTTAGGGCTTCCCCGGCGGCTCCGGGGTAGAGGACCCACCTGCAAAGGAGGAGACGCTGGTTTGATCCCTGCGTCGGGAAGATTGTCTGAAGAAGGGAATGGCAAACCCCTCCAGTATTCTTGCCTGGAAAAACCCCACTGGACAGAGGAGGCTGGCAGGCCACAGTCCATTGGGTCGCAGAGCGGGACATGACTGAAGCCACTGAGCACCCGTTTGTGAGTGCTCGATCCGTGCCTTAAGTACACTCATGTCGTCGTAGCCATCACCACCATCTCCAGAACTTTCTCATCTTCCCAAACGTAAAGTCTGTCCCCACTAAAACCCCCCTTTCCTCCCGCCGCCTCCTGGCTTTTAAGCATCAGCTCCTTAATACGCAGTGTCCCGTATTTACGTACAACTGTCCCCCAGAGCCAAGGAAGCCGAGCTCAGAAACAACCGGGACTCAGCCGCACCCAGCGGGTTAGGGACTGAAGCCATGCCTGACGGCTCCCAGAGCTGCCAGTTCATCCCTGCGAGCTGGCCTTCCCTTTTTTAAAAGATAATTACTTGCTTATTTTTGACTGTGTCGGGTCCCGGTGGTGGCGCGCGGGCTTAGTTGCCCGGCAGCACGTGGGGTCTTCATTCCCAGCTAGGGATGGAACCGGTGTCCCCTGCACGGGAAGGTGGACTCTTAACCACTGGACCACTGGGGACGGGCCAGCCTTTCCGCCTGAGTTTCACCCCGCAGCATATAGCTCCCTCCTGTGGACGTGCAGAGATGCACAGCCAATCTCAGGGAGCGCGCGCCCCACTCAGCCGAGGAGAGGATCCCTAGGTTCGGGAGCATTCTCTTTGGCTGAGGGTGTTTCTGGAGAGAGGGAGTGGGACGGTCACCACCTGGAGACAGATGCCTGTCGCTCTCGCTGGCCTCCCTGAGGGGGGCGCGGTGTGCGCAGCCCGAGCTGGGACACTGCATGCGCGAAGCCCAAGGCGGGGCGCGGGGTGCGCGCGGCCCGAGCGGGGACGCGGTGTGCGCGCAGCCCGAGGCGGGGACTCGGTGTGCGCGCAGCCCGAGGCGGGGCGCAGGGTGCGCGCGGCCCGAGCCGGGGCGCGGTGTGTGCGCGCAGGCGGCACAGGAAAGGAGAGCTGGATCCCCCCTCCCCCAGGAGCACACCCCCCAAGCCCCCGCCGTGTGTTAACAGGAATCAGCCCATCACCCATTTACTCTAACCCTTTCCCATCCTCCTCACCCCTGTGGAGCAGACAGGATGCTCTCACTCCATAGCGAAGGAAGCAGAGGCTCTGAGAAGGCGGGGCTGTGTCACTATTCAGCGAGTCAGGTCTGGAGAGGCTGGTGGCGGAGCTGGCGTGGTGCCCCCCAGGGCCGCAGCGAACTCAAAAATGAGGGGCTTGTGCCAGTATTGGCCCTGACTCTCGGTGACCCTGCATCTGCCTGTCTTTGATTTTCAAGTCTCAAAACGGGGGAGAACCTTTGTTCCTAACTCCTTTACAAGGTTAATGTCAGATCTGCCGGTCTGCTCTGGTTTACTGGCCTTTTAGACTCAGCCAGTCTGAGTCTCTTTGGCTGAGACATCAATCAGAGGTCTAAGCACCTGCCCCCTGCTCTCTTGGGACCGCTTCCAAGAGCTTCTTGGTCATCGTTTCTCTGAATTCCCAGCCCCTTTGAACGCTCGGGAAGGACCTGCTCCCGTGCGTGTGTGTTCCCTGATTCTCCCGTGATGCTTCCCAGAGGAGCCAGCCGTTGGCCGTGTTTTGCAGGAAGGCTGTGGAAGCAAACCTCCCATGTCTGTCCCAGAGGAAAGAGCCGACGGGTTGAGGTTTTAGCTTTTGGACGTTGAGTGGACTCCGACGGCCTCAGAGGGCATGTTGGCTAGCCGAGCCGTTTGGCTGTGGTCACTCCAATGAAAATGCGTCCGTGTGCCCTTTCACCCCAAACCGCACTTCTAGACTGTGCTGCGGATAGGTGCCTAGAGACAGACGTGGTCCGGCCCAGGTCGGCCGCCACGGAAGCTGGAGACTGTCTACGGGGCACCTTCCCTTGAGGTCGTGAAGCCACTAAGATCCTTGCGATACGCATCCACAGGACGGGGTTAACACCCCCGTCTGAGAACCGAGGCGGCTCCGTGGACTGATGTGAAATGTCCCCCCGGGGATAAATCGTTAGGTGCAACAGTGGGAAGGTTTAGAAAGACTGAGGGTCACCCTCAAAGGTTACCTATGAACTGGGCTTTCCATCACCTTTGGGAGCCCAGGGATGAGTTCCTGGGGTCGCGCGCAGCATTTGACTCACGCACATGGGCCTGTGGGCGTGCACGCAATGTGTGCGGAATCCTCCCGTGGAGCCCACGGTCCCTGCAGGGTTGAAAACCACCGTGTGAGTCTTCAGTCTGTAAACTGAAGCCCAGACTTGCCTGGGTCACTACCCATAGGTCACGTGCTGCTATGTACCTGGCCCGACTGGGTGCCCAAGGCCCAGAAATAAGGGGGCACCGCCCTCAGCTTCCAGGAAAACCCAGACCCAAGCGGGAGGTTGCCCACATTGACATACCAGCCAGCAAGTGTGCCGGGCAGAGGGGCCTCGGGCACGGACTACCTGGAGAGCCGCGCGGGGCCCACCAGGCCTGGCCCGATGGGTGGGACTCAGCATGCGGAGCCCCTCCACGGCGTGGACGTGACCCCCCACAACCCGAGCCGAGGGGGTGCTGGCCTGCTGCTCATGGCTCTCCTTCCTTCCGCAGTTCGTGGAAGTGGAAGGACAGATCACGTCCTTGGTTGATCTGCACCCATCCTTGCTAAGGAAGGGTTTTCATCGGGAGATCTTCATCGCCTCCATATGCTGTGTCAGCTACCTGCTGGGGCTGACCATGGTGACGGAGGTAGGTGGCTCCCGCCTGGCACAAGGGGACCCCCCCTCCACAGGGCCCCGGGTGCTTTCACTGTGTTTCCCAGGTTAGTTCAAGGCCACACTGCCTCCCTGCCGCCCCCCACCCAGCGGCTGGGTGAGAGGGCCCGGCAACTGAGGTCGTCCCTCCTTTGGGGGTCCCACCCCACCCAGGGGCAGCAGGGGGTGACTGAGAACCCCGCCCTCCAGCCAGACGCCCTCCCCCACTTCCCTGTTACCCTGGCAACACCGTGCCCACCTGCTGCCCTCCATCTCTCCTCATCCCGAGGCCCGGGGAAGGGGCGCTTCGGCCAAAATCCCCTTTGACAGCAGCTCCGTCCCCACTGCTGTGGGCAGTGGCCCTTCTCTGGCCGGCCTGCAGGGGAGCTGAGTGTGTGAGCCTAGCCCGGGCCGCGGCCTCATCTCCTCAGCGCCCACCACCCATCTCTCCTTACTCTCCGGCCCAGGGTTGCATTCGACCCCCAGATCAGGATTTCACATCCCCAGTCTTCCTTCCCGGCACTCAAAATAAATGTGTTTCCCAAAGTGTCTGTAAGAAACACCCCTGGAAAGGCAGATCACAGGTTCACATGCCGAGCAGCTTGGTCTCACTGAAGTCTTCTCTGTTGGCCACCGGGGGTTTTAAGCTCCTCCGTTGGAAACAGGCTTCAGCGAATCCGTTCTTTTTTGTGCAAAGAAAGACATGTTTTGCTTTCATTTCTTTCTGTGTGTGTCTTTTTTAATTAAGTTTTTACTTTTTGACTTAAATTTGTCATGAAGCTAAGCATCTTTTAACACAGTTATCTGGTCCTCGCGGCCTCTGCCCAATCCCCCCTGCCCCCCGCCCCAGCCTGGGCTTTCTATTTTCTTCTTGACAGGCCAGAACTCTTTACATATGGAGGGACTTAGAGGCCAAATAGCAAGTTCACCTCCTCTGGCTTTCTCTTCGCAGGGCGGCATGTACGTCTTTCAGCTCTTTGACTACTATGCAGCGAGCGGTGTATGCCTCTTGTGGGTGGCGTTCTTTGAATGTTTTGCTATTGCCTGGATATATGGTGAGTAGAGACGTTTGCCTGCTTTTCTCAGGTCTCCTCTTTGGGCTTCTCTCTTTAGAAGCTTCAGAAACAGAATTCTCATGGGAATTTCACTTTGCATCCAACACAAAGGCTGTTCCCTGCCTGGACCCTTCCCCTTTCACCACAAATACGACCGTAGCCACGTGGAAGCTTCTCTCCAGGCTGAAGGTTCAAGTTGTGGTCCGATGCCTTGACAAACACAGAGTTTGGCCTTGCAGGGGTCTGTCTTTGGTGAACCACCCCTGGAGTCCAGGAATGGTCCATTCTGACCTCCTCAAGTCCTTGGGATGGCCACACCAGGATTTGGGACTCTGCCTGAGGTTGCCAAAAAAATACCGGCTACCCAGTGACCCGTGAATTTCAGATCCTTTCAGATAAACGTGTGCCGGGTCTGTGTGGTGTGGACAGGTGCACAGACCTGGGTGAGGCCCTGGAGACACCCCCTCCTCCTCGCCCCGCCCTGACCCCACGGCCCTTGAGCCCCTGCCATAAAGTTCCCAGGGCGGACGCCGCATCTGGGACACTGGATCACTGTCCATCTGCCTCTGACTCTTGCAGGCAGCGATAACTTCTACGATGGTATTGAGGACATGATCGGCTACCGGCCGGGGCCCTGGATGAAGTACTGCTGGGCCGTGGTCACCCCGCTTCTCTGTATCGTGAGTGTCCTCCTGCGCGGCCGTGGGCCACCGTCCCTACCCCAGGGCTTGACGGTTTCACCCGCCCGCCCGCCCATCGTGAACTCAGCGTCGGCTCAGTGCTGGCCTCCGACAAACCCGTTTCAGCTGGGCCTCGGGTCAGGGGCCGGGCTGCCGCTGTCCGCTCAAACCACGGCGGCGAGCTCAGGGTAGACTGCCCCCCGTGTTTAGGAACCGGGTGCCGGGGGATGCCCCCAGGGACCTCGGTCTCCAGGCCACTGTGTCCCTCCCCCCTGAGGCCCCGCATCCCCATTTGTTAAACAAGGAGGCCGACCGATGTGGGGCTGAGTAGCAGTGACCGTGTCGGCTGTCTCTTTACCCCCAAGAGCGGTTGTGCCCTTTTATCACCTGAGCTGCAGACTGCCCCCCACAAAATGCCTCCGCTGTAGCAGCCAGCCGGCTTTCCCGGTGGCGCCAGTGGTAAACAGCCCGCCTGCCGACGCAGGAGACGTAAGAGACGTGGGTTCGATCTTCCCTGGGTCGGGAAGATCCCCTGGAGGAGGGCATGGCCACCCACTCCGGCATTCTTGGCTGGAGACACCCCGTGGACAGAGGAGCCTGGCGGGCCGCAGCCCGTGGGGTCGCACAGAGTCAGGCATGACTGAAGCGACTTGGCCCCTGGGCTCATGCGCACGCGTGCGTGTTTGCACTTCGTTCTAAGGGCGCCCCGAGGGTCCTGCCCAGCTCCGCCCGGGCGGTCAGGGGCCTGACAGGTGGTCTCTCTACCACTGGAGCCACATGGGCAGCTGGGATGCAGAGAAGATGCAGGAAGGCGGTCCCATGGGTGGAAGCAGCCTGCCCAGAGGTCCCCAGGGGCCCCGGCGGGGCTGAGACACTGGGATCCATAGCATAGCCATGCAGGAGGAGGCGGTGGGCAGGTGGCCAGGCATTGCTGGCCAGAGGAGGACCGTGCGTCCTGAAGGCCCTGCGGAGCAGCAGAGGGTTCTGAGCAGGGCAACCGCTCCGTCAGCAGAGGGGGAGGAGGGTGGGGCCCTCGGGTGGGCCCCGCCCTGGCCCCAGAAGCCCCTGACCGCCCCCTTGTCTCCCCACAGGGGTGTTTTGTCTTCTCTCTCGTCAAGTATGTACCCCTAACCTACAACAAAGTCTACACGTACCCCACCTGGGCCATCGGGCTGGGCTGGTGCCTGGCCCTGTCCTCCATGCTGTGTGTCCCCCTGGTCATGGTGATCCGCCTCGGCCAGACCGAAGGGCCCTTCCTCGTGGTAAGCACCCGGGGCCCCCCGCCGGGGGCAGGATGCTGAAGGCCAGCCAGCTGGCAGTTGGCTGTGTGAGCCTCTCTGAGCCCCAGGCCCCTCCCTCCCCCTGCGGCGCGCCTGAAGCTGCGGGCAGGAGATTGCGCGGTGGGAAGACAGGGCAGCGGCGGCACCTTTGGGGGCCAGGCAGCGGGCCAGGGGGCAGCGGCTTCAGATGCCAAGACGAGAGCCAGGGCTTTGCCCCCAAGCAGAGGGGGCCAGGTTGTTGCTGAGACAGGAGCTGGGGGGGAGGGCTGAGCTCAGCCCACACTGGTGTCCCCCTTCCCAGACCGGTGGCCCCAGTTGCCGCCGGACCCTCAGAAAGAGGCCACCTCCTCACCAAGCAGAAGCTCTGGCTCCAGGGTCTCGGCTCCCGTGGGTCTCCTCCACCCCCCACCCTCCCACCCCCCGAATCCTGCCGCCATCCTCTCCGAAATTCCTCCAACAGTCCTGGAGGTTACAGGCCCTGGCTCTTTCCAAGAAATCCTTTTCTTAGACTCTCCCTTAACCTTTGGGCTTGGGCTGGCTCCAGGACGGCACTGTTTTGTTCTGGGCTGTTTTTATTGTTATTCTCTTAAAAATCTGGAGCCAGGATGTCCGGGGGCCCTGACTCCCTCCTGGGCTGGGCAGTTTCCTTGTGGGCAGGGGCCTGGTTGGGGGGGGGTTGTCTTTGGTCGGGGGCTGGGGGGGGAGGAGGGGACAGGCCTTCCCGAGATGGAGGAAGTAGGCAGGGGTGTGCCCGGGAGGAAACCGTGAGGCTGGGGTCTGTCTGGGCCAGGAAAGCCTCTGGGGTGTCCCTGCGGCCCTGGGTCCATTGTGTTTTCTCAGAGGCTGCAAGGAAGGACCCCAGGATTCAGCCAGAATGCTGAATAGCCCTCTCATTTATCAAAGCACGGACATAGTGTGCCTGGGACAGATCCAGCCCTGCTCCCCCGGAATTTCCAGGAATTTCTCTTGCCACCCAGAGACTGAAGGGTTAATTGGCAGCGTTGGAAGGCAGTGCTGAATGCTCATAGCCGACCCAAGAGGTCACTGCCTTCTGTCCCTTGGAATCCTAATTTTAAAATCCTGCTCCATCTCACGTTTAGAGGTTCAGGCAGAGCAGGGTTGGTGTCGGGGAGGAATTCGAGTCCACCCCCGGGTCACGTCCGATCCTCATGCCCCCAGACCTGACCTGACAGTTCCCGGAAGCCCCCTCCTCTGAAGGCAGCCGGCCGCCACCCACCTGTGTTGGCCTCCAGTCTGGTTCCTCCCAGGCCCAGGCCGCCGCCCCAGTTGGGGTGTGGGGTCACTGGGGCGCGGGGGCTCAGGCACCATCACAGGAGGTGGTCAGGCTCCCGGTTTGGGAGCCCCCCATCCCGGATTATCAAGGAGATGTGGGCCTCTGCTTGCCAGAGCTTGTGGATTTTAAAGAGCAGGTGGAAATCTGGATTTTCAAATGAAATATTGTAGCTTTTACCAAGCAGCTTTTGAGCGTTGTTGTAAACCTGCAATGAACGTGGTTGCCGAGACAGAGGGTTTCCTGCTTCCTCTTGAAGCCTCTGAGTGGCCACCTGGCAGGCGGTGGGCTGGGTGGCGGGAGCCCTGGGTCAAGTCTCAGCTCTGCTTTGGTTTCTTGGGTGTCCTGAGAGGGGCTTTTTTCCCCCTCACCCGTGATCAGGCAACCTGGGGAAGAACCAGCTGCCCCACGCCCGGCGGTGGTCCAGCCTCTGGCCTCTCTGATGGGCGGGGCAGCGCAGACAGGCAGCGTGGTCTCCAGGCCCCCAGTGGGGATGTGGAGAGGGCAGGACCTGTAGCTTGTGGAGATGGGAGAGTTTGGGAAGGTTGGGAGCCATGGGAGGCTCAAGACAGTCATCCAGCCTTGGGCATACGAACTGTAGAAACTCAGCTGCTTTGCAAGTCAGGGAGATAGTGGGGACAAGAATCCCGAGGAGGCGTATTTCAGCTCTATGGGGGAAAGAGTGTGGAGGCATGAGTCCCCTTGGCCAAGGAATCTACCTGCTGGGAGCTCTGCTGTCGTTGAGGGCCTGGGGCACCTTGGTTCCAGGCCTTTGTTTGCCAGGAGATGAGAAACGGAAGGTCCAGAGAGGGCAGGGGTTTGGCGAAGGTCACACGGCACCCCGGCAGGACGCGAGGTGAAGAGGGAACCCACAGGGCCTGACCTGTCTCCCCGCACCTGTCCCCTTCCTTCTCCAGAGACTCAAGTACCTGCTGACCCCGAGGGAACCCAACCGCTGGGCCGTGGAGCATGAGGGGGCCATGCCCTACAGCTCACGCCTGGCCCTCAACAACACGCTCAGGAAGCCCACCCACATCATCGTGGAGACCATGATGTGAGCGCTCTCCGGCGGACGGGCTGCTCTCCCGCTGTTTACTAACATTAGATTCTCGTAGGGCCAGGTTTACAGAGCTTTACATTTGCACTAGGGTTTTTGTTTATTTTTTCAATTGTCACAGAAAATGTTACTCTGTGTGTTTGTGTGTGTGTGAGCGTGTGCACGTGTGTGTGTGCGCGTGCGGTGCTGTGTGTATGTGTATTTCCTTTTGATTTGGGGATGTTTTGTACAAAAAAGCAAACCCACGGGCAGCTGTCCGGGGCAAGGCAGAACTTTCATACAGAATCAGATGTATTTTATGGGGACTTGGTAAAATTTTCTTTGTATTTTTTTTTACATGTAACTATGTACACACGTAGAGATTGTCAAAGACTTACCACTTGAATTGATCTCGCCAGCGATAGATCTCGTTTTTAAAAGCAATTCTTCGGTGCTTATGCAGCTGGCAGAAAGTTCTGCCCCCCACCCCCGCGACCAGAACCCTGGGTGGAATTTTAAAGGTGGCGTACCCGCAGACCTGGTTCAAGTGAAGCAAACAGCTATCTGGCCAGACCCCAAGGGGCTGGAGAGAGGAAGGTGCCTTGTGATGCTTATCTTAGCCAACAAGAGAGATGCCCAAACCGTAAACCAACCCTCAAGAAAACGGACTCAAGTCCACAGTGGAGGCCCAACGGCGAAAGTCAGATGCTAAGCACGCCAGGGACCCCTGCATTGGGAGGGTCCCTTTTATTTCAGGATTGAGGGTGGATAGTCAGAAGGACAAGAGGGAGAGGCATTCTTCCCCTGGGTATCCCCTGGAGCAAGTGGAGGCTGGCCCTGCAGGAACTGGGAATCTCCAGGCTCCAGACCTCACATGGATGGGTCTCTTGCCTTAGAAGGGGGCTCCTATCAGCTTCCGGCCGACCTCCCCAGCTGGCATCTCTTGAAGCTGCCTGTTGGAGAAGCGTGATGTATTTGGGGAGGGGCGAGGGATAAGCCAGCGGACCAAAGGATGTGCGCCCAAGTGCCCCAGAGGGGGTGGGGGGCCTGGTGTCGGGCGAGGGGCTGCTCCTTCCCTCTTCACGCCACCCTCAGCTCTGGCCTCGTCTCCCAGAGGCTCTTGTTGAAGACCCCGGCCCAGGGTCACACTGGCGCCCAGCAGGGAGCTCAGGAGCGAGCTGTCATTGGGGCGAGGTGCTCCCCTAACTCTCCTGCGAGTTCAGGCACAGGTGCAACCCACGCGGGTCACCTGGAAGCTAAGGTATCGCTTTCTCCCCCTCCCCTACAAAAGCTGGGGTCAGGCGTGCAGTAGGTGGGGACTGCAGGCAGAAGCTGAGTCAGGGCAGGCACCCTGGAAACGGGTGTCCCTCTCTGAACCAGGACGGAAGGCACCCCACCTTTAGAACCCCGCCCAGCCCGCATCTGGACCTCAACTGTGCCATTTAAACAGACACTTCCAAGCCCAGAATCTAAAGTAAACCGAACCATCGTCCCGCATGAAGAGCAGTGATCGCCTCGGGGGCTGTGGAGCGTGGTCCCGCTCCCCGTTCAGAGCAGGGGTTCTATGAACCCTGGGACCCTCCCCCCAAACCCGGGCAGGGGCGGGGCCTCAGGTGTCGCCCTCCCAGGGTGCAGAGGTGACTCTGAACCTCCCATCTTTGGCGTGTGGTCACAGTCCCCCGTCTCCATGGCGATACTCTGCCAAACAACACCCCACCCTATTCCAAACCGTCGGCAAGTCTAGTTCCCATCTCACTGTGTATTTATGGTTGCCACCGTGTCTGATTCGCTGGTGTTGCTTTTGTTTTTTCCCAGTTTTATTGAGTAGCAATGTGACCTCTTCTTTGTCTTATGGAGCTTTAGTAACTAACCACTGTCAGTGACTGGGGACAGGTCACGTGCAGGAGCTCGGGGTGGGGCCCGGACCCCTGCGAAAGGCCACAGCGTTTCGGGATGGTTGGCAAATCGCAACATTCTGGAAATGGCCCGGAAACGGCCCCTTCTTCTACGATTCCCAGACCAAATTCTAGACCAAAGACACACGCAGACCAAGCCCCCAGGCCCCGCCTGGAAGGAAGGTCAGCCACTCTCCCAAACCGGGTCCTCGCCCGTCTCCGGGCACCTGTCCCCAGTCACAAGCCCCCGCCTGACCCCCCAGCTCCTGTGTATCCATAGAACTCGGCTCTGTGAGTACCTTATGTAACGACGCGTGCCTCTGATGTCTCCGCATAAAGGAAACTTGTCATTGGCGCTCACGACTCTGGTTCGCCTGTCTCTGGGCAGGCCCCCTGCCCGCGCTCTACCTGGGACGGAATTCTGATGTTTGCAGCCAGATTTGGAAGGGAGGCAAGAGTGAGGCTTAAAGGAGGTTTCTAGGGTGCAGAAATGGGGCAGGGCCCCAGGACGGTCTCACCCGGGGAGATGCTTCATGGAGCTGGGCCTGGGCCCTGTTCGCCCCTGCGGTCCCCAGTGATGGAGAGGCTTCCTGGGTCTCCCAGTCAGCGCCCTCATTGGCAAACGGGCATGTTCGCCTTGAAGACCAAAGACCAGCCTTATGGCAGAGGGCCTGCTCCGTCCCCAGAGTCCAGGGACCCTGTGAGCATCCTCAGGGGCCGGCTGGACCCCAAGTTGCAGCTCAGTGGGACAGGTAGCCCCGGCCCCCCGGCCCCCCACCCAGCAGGCCTCTGGGAGCCAGGCGTTGAGAGCAGGGATGCAGGAGATGGCGGGATCTAGCCTGAGGCCACGTGGGACATCCACAGCCATCACAGAGCGGCCTCAGGTGGTTTCTGGGCCCCGGGCAGCTCCCTCTGCAAAGCCTCTGGTCCCACATTCTCTCCCCAGGCCCCCAAGACGGTGGGGGGGACAGTGTAAGGGGAGGGGGCGTCTTACTCAGCCTGGCCCAGAGTGTCCCATGTCCCCAGGTACCACACAGCGGTCAGGGGCCCAGCCAGCATCTCCCAGCCATACCCCCCACCATCCCTCCCCACCCCCAGGCCTCAGAGACTGGCCAGGAAAGAACCCAAGAAAGGAACCCCCCTTGAGGCAGCCAGAGGCCCCATCCAGCCCTCAGACTCAAGATCCGGGGAGCGTCCGAGTGGACACCGTGAATATCACTGTGCAAAAATCCCAACAAGCACAAAACAACGAACGAAGCTCAGGCATCGAACTCGGAGAGGGGTGTGGATGCCCCAGAGCCAGGGGGCAGCCTTTGTCCCCAGGTTGGCCTCTCCACGGGTGTGGCTGCAGACACGTTCTGCCCTGTTCCCTGGGGTGGGGGGCTGAAGCATCTTATTATATATTTGACTTCAAACTGAGATGTCAGCTTCATTTTTTTTTTTTTTACCCAATTAATTTTCAAATCCCTAGCAACTGTGACTGTATTTAGCACGAGAGAAAGCTGAGAACGTGGGTCTTTGCCTCCTTCCAGAAATGTCTGGTTCATCAGGACATTTTTTGAAACTTCAAACTATTTTTTAAGATATTTTAAACTTTTGTAAAAGAAAAAAATATATCAAGCAACAAGAGACTCTTCTGAGGAGCATTTGTATTTGAATAAGATCCTTGTAAGATCCTTGGTGTGTAATTCAGTCTCGCTGTATACAAGCTTTTGTGTATAAATGTTTTCTGATACGAATCCCTGTATTTTGCAGGGTGTTTCTTTTCCTCTTTGGCTTTTTAGATAAATATGTATATCAATATTTTAAGTTCATCTTTGCTTTTTTTTTTTTTAGAGGAGTTTGTAATCACCTTATAACATGAAAATAAAATTTCCTTTTAAAATCCGAAACGTGTGGGTTCCATTCTGACGCAGCCGTTCCTCTTTATGTTTAGCAAGCTGTTTACCTTTTACAGAGGGCTTTCAGCCCAGCCCCGGGGACATTCCTCAGAGAGGGGTGTTATTCTCTCAGGTTGGAGACACTGAGGTGAATGTCGCGGAGTCCCAGCTCTGGTTGGAAAAGAATTTCCAGACACGGAGTGGTTCAGAAAGGAGTGGGTTTATTAAGAACAGGAAGCAGAGATAATGAGGGTGCTGCAAGCACCCACAAAGGGCCGACCCCCCAACAGACCAGGGGGAGCCCGTGCAGGTTTAGCAGCCAATTCTTACAGTCTCAAGGCAGACTGCCCGCGATGCAGAAGATGTGGGTCTGATGCCTGGGGCGGGAAGATCCTGTGGAGGAGGGCATGGCTACCCACCCCAGTGTTCTTGCCTGGAGAATCCCGTGGATGGAGGAGCCCCGAGGGCTGTAGTCCACGGGGTCACAGAGGAGTCAGACATGACTGAGCGACAAACACCTCAGAGCGACATAGGCTGAGCGCCAGGGTGAGCATTTCTGTCTCATTTGTGGTCAGGAGGCCAGCTGGTGACACCCAGGGGGACTTTTGGCAATTGCGACAAAGGCGCTCAGCCCGCTTCGGAGGTGGCCTCGGTTCTGGGCTCTGCTTCTGTGGCCTTGGGGCAAGACTCCACAGTAAAGACTCAAGAGGGGACAGTTGGCCTCAGGACACAGGAGTCCCTGCAAGTGTGGGCAGCGGGACTCAAGTCCCCGAATCCCCGGTCGGCTTCAGCGGCTTCTAATAATAGGACCCGACCAATCACCTGGGCCCGGGTGGTCACCTGATCTAAAGCACCACGTGCCCATCGGACGTGCTGCTCACCACGCGCCTGCAACAGGCACCATCCCATACTAACACCCGGGCTCTGATCGCCATGGCCCGGGGGCGCTGAATTGGGACAGACCAGTGATTTTAGAGCCCAAGAAAGTAGTCTGTCACTGTTCCCATTGTGTCCCCATCTATTTGCCATGAAGTGATGGGACCGGATGCCATGATCTTAGTTTTTTGACTAATGAGTTTTAAGCCAGCTTTTTCACTCTCCTTTTTCATCAAGAGACTCCTTAGTTCTTCTTCACTTTCTGCCGTTAGGATGATATCATCTGTGTATCTGCGGTTATTGCTATTTCTCCCAACAATCTTGATTCCAGCTTGTGCTTCATCCAGCCCGGCATTTCGCATGATGTACTCTGTATATCACGTATGCAGGTCAGGAGGCAACAGTTAGAACTGGACATGGAACAGCAGACTGGTTCCAAATCAGAGAAGGAATATGT